ACCCGTAGTTATTACGATTCGGGTTGAATTAATCCAACTTCGAAAAGCAACAATTGATTACGTGTACAAATGAAAATCGTAACTAGAGCGAGACCGAACAACAATAAAAATACAATATAAAAAACATGTCGCATTGTTGTTGCATGTTTTCTTCACCTGGTATGTAAAAACAGACTTCTTGAAGTTCCGAGTCCCCTTCGAAATTCCTGCTTATTAGCATCGGCACCGGCACAGAACTACAGTTCTTGGACACATTCAAGGTGTCCTCATCGCAGGGAAAAACCACCTCGCGAAGGGAATCCCCTAAGAAGATCTTCGACTGAGACGTGACGAAGACGGATTCGGCGACATCGCGACGTTTGCGTCGGAATGTTGAGGGTGCGGAACGCGGGGGCGGTACCGGAGGCGGCGCCGTTCCGTCCTCGTCTTCCTGACGACGAGAGGGCGCCGATCTCGATGACTTGAACGACATTTCCGCATATCACAATTATCACACGAGTTTAGTTGATCCAACGGCCACAGTTCGAATATGAGAAGCACAGACACTCACTCGATCACATTTTCCTCTTTGTATGTTACCAATTGTTATCCCTCGGTATGCATATAAGGTATGTTCCGTTTGCGGCGATCGTTGGTAATGGAATGGCTCGTGAACAGGCGAATGCCAGAGCTAACTTTCACTTCGCGTTACATGACGAGGAGCCGCGCTGCGTTTCGCGACTGGACAGCCTTGAAATGCTCCAAATTACACGTACAGAAGGAATAATAATAACACACTGACGATGAGCCGAAACAACGAAGAAGTGATCAAGAAATAATGGAATAATAAATAGACTTTGGACGATAATGCACCGATTTCCTGTACTCAAACGCAAACGCGGATCAATTTAAAACTTCAGTATAAATTGCCTTGATCTAGATGTCAATTGAATATAGTAAATTGTTCATACAAGTATCAACCTAGGTGATAAATGTGTACATTTTGTCTTTAATTTTACAATACATTCAAAATACATATATCTTTTACAATTATTTATTAATTTAGATTGGTGCATTTTATAAAATCAAATTGATAATTCTATATTTAAAACATCTCGTAGTTTTAACCTTCACATTAATTTATATATCTACAATTCCAGTTTAACTAAATTGGTTCAATTTCAATTCAAAAGTATTTTATTCAGTTTTAATCTTTGTAATAGATTTTTATATTATTATTTGTAGGAGATCGAGATGGTGATTGTTATTAAATTAGTTGAATATTAAAAATAATAACGTTTATTGCCACAGTCATGCAAAAATAAAAAGTAAACACAAAGAAAATCATATTTATAATTATAATCATTAAAATTTCTTGCAGTTCATTAGTAAATATTTCTAATACTGTATTTAAATTAATGAGTTCTTATAATCACCAAATTGCTTACTTTATTTAACAATTATTTACATTTTAAGCATACAATTGTAACAGTTACTTGATTTTTTTAAATATTTTTTTAATACTTTAAAAGTATTTGGATATTATAGATAATTATGTATTTCACACTGTTAATAAGATATTTAAAGTATTTATCTACTCGAACAAAATTAGTTGTATATAATTGTTTATAAAATAAGTTTGAATATAGATTTAATGGTTGTCATTTTATAAATTATATATGAATAAAATATTATAATATTCCTTATTTAACTACTTTTAAGTTCTATCAAATTAATTTCTTTAAAGGTCCAAGTTTAATGTTTTGTTGCAAAATTGCCGTATTTTCTTGAATCAATTGAATTTATCTAATATTCTTTATTAAATTTATTTTTTTAAAATATATATTTTTTTTCTAAATACTAAAATATGCTCATGGAATATATAAAGTAGATATGTATTAAACATTATGCAAGATTACAAAGTTAACCATTTGATTTACTTTATTAGAGAATTGGTAATGATTTTTGAATCCAATCCAATTTACTGATGAATATGATCTATAAATACAATTCCAAGTTGTCTAAACTATAATTAAAATTAAACAACAAATTAAAAAATAATGTACTTATGTAAAAGAAAATTTAGTAATGTTATATGAGTCACTGAATAGAAAGTATAGATAAAATAAAAAGTATTAAAAAAGTCATAAATAATAGTGTACAATTTATGCTGTAACATTAACATTTTTAAAGACATCATTGTGATGTGCACGAAGGTCATCTTCTCGAGTAATCATATCGGAGATATATTTAAATTAAGTTTATTATTTATTTAATTTGAATTTGATGTATTTGATCATGCTTCAGAAAATATTTTTTTTTAGAATACAATTTATGTGTATATATTATTTAAAACGAAGAGAACGATTTGATCTGGATGATACGAACGTATAGCTTTTTTTTATGATTGCTTTTGAACATGAAAAGAACAAGTGCAGCTCATGGTATATACGATGATATGACCCTGGAAAACTTGTCCGTGTTCTTCGTCGTTTTGTTTCTATTCCACCTCCCCACCGTCCCGTTTCATTCCGTAAATGTCAGGTGGGTCGTAAGCATAACCTTTTTCCTTTTTCAAGAATTTAATGGGAATCAATTTCTCCAGCGCGATTCTCCTTTAATTACGCGAAATAGAAAACAAAAGAAATCTTTGGACGGTGATTAAATCTAAACGCATCGCCTTCGTTCAACCACGTGCCTTCACCATCTAATCGCGTTCGCATCGAGCGTTAATTACATTTGGGTGATCAATTACCATTACCTCATTTCGAACGAATGTCCATTTCGGAAGAACGGACGAAAATTTTTTGGTGAAACCATGCGGACGAAACAAAAACACAAACAGGTTATTTAACGATTGCGCAACGCGGATTTAAAATTATAATGTATTATTCAAATATAGACGTATCTATACAAAGAAGGAAAGGAGTGAATGTGTTAGCAAAGTAGAGAAATAGCAAGAGAGAGAGAGAGAATGAAGAGAAAAAAAGTGCGAGTTATCTGGGCCTCGAGAATGTATTACGAAATGTATTACGCAAAAATAGTGGGTAACAGCAAAAAAAAAACAATCTGAAGAAGAAACATAATCCGTGTTACCTAGTTTAAATGTCTCCTATAGCCTAGATTTCATTTAATTCAAAAAATTAATATTTATTTGATGCTATGAAGTAATCATAACGCCAAATAGCTATTAACGTGTAATTATCAATATATTGATATATTTATAAAACTCTTGTAATATTTAATTTAATAAATTGTTAAATAGTGAACTTTCAACATGAACAATTTCTTACAATATTCTTATTATTTTTTTCGCGAATATTTTGCTATTATCTATTTTCTTTGACGTTACATTTCACATTGACATTTTATTTTCTATACTTTACGAGTGTCAAATGTACATTGACATAACCTAGTTAAAAACGCTTCTTTTATGACACCTAACATATGTTCAAAATTCAGCGACGTTTTTTTTTTTAACTCTTCATATTTACTTTTAGTTAAAGAAAATTGTGATTTTTTGTTTATTTTTTATAAATGTATACAGGATTACTGACAGGAACAGCTCTAGAATGTATGTTACTCGGCGCCGTAACAAAATCAAGCAGGACAATAGTGCACAGCAACGAAAGCGCTCAGTAAAACAACCACGTCAAATGAGAATTTGTAAGTATTTTTAAAATACAAACCCTGCCCAGCTGTTAGTAACCTAAAGCACTAGAATGAATATTCAATCATCAAATAATGTAGAATTTTTTGAATATTTATCGGCTTTAGCATTTCGGAATTGAGAAAAATATTTCTATTGAATAGATAACTATTTGATTTATTTCTAGTTGTATAAAAACGAAAATTAAAATTTGAATTAATTTTTTTATCTAATTAATTATTGCAATTATTCTGTTTGATCAATGAAGAATAAATCTTAAAAAATAATAAGATAATATTGTATTCATCTAGTGATAATTATAGTATTTTATGTTTGAAGTATGTTCATTGAAATATAATTCATATAAACAATAATTTTGATGCTAAATTCTATATACATAGTAAATATGTTATTTTGTAACTGAAGAGAAACTGCAAATGTGGAAATGCTCGGTTTGATTATTGAGTTTTTGCAGGAAGTTAATAAGATCATTCTTAAAATCAGCCTACTTTTCTAAGAAATAATACTACATCTATATTTTCTTTCCCCTATATAGGAAATTTAACGTAACCTATGACCAAAGTGTTTACTAAATGCCGGTGCAATATTGTGTTGACTGCGGCACAAAGAAGTTGTTTTTATGCATGTTCGTTCTTGCTCTGCTGTGTTGGTGTAATAGCAGACAATGCTGATACATTTACTCACGCTTATATAGAGGATGATGACCATAATTCTGATTCAGAAATTATTATATTAATGTATTACAAATAGTTATGAATCTAATAAAAAAAAGTATTAGTTAACATGAAAAACAAACAAAAATAACATTTATCTCATTACATCATATGTTATTTGTATATAATTATTAAATTTCCTCTCACAGTAAGTAAGTTAAATAGAATATAAATCTTGTCAGAGAGAATAATTTAGCTTACAATATTTGTTAATTATATTTCTTTATAAATGAACAATTGCACATTTTGTTTCACATGACTGCTCTCTTTCTCTCTTTCGCACGTTCTCTTGTGCACCTTCTGCATGTGAGAATTAAATAACGTCGCGGTCTTTTAAATATAAATAATCCATTATAATTCGCGTGGAATGCTCGATTTAGAGAGCGTTCAATGTAATGTGTAAATAGAAAGGTAAAGAGAAGAGAGCTCCGATGCAAATTTTCTTTTCACACTTCTTTTATTTCTGCATAATTATTTCCGAATATTAATTAGGTGATTTTAATTATTAGCAACTAGCCTGTATATAATACAGTTTTCTCTGGTTAATTTTTAAATCTTATATTGAAAATAATAAATTAGCAATAATTAAATATATATGAAAACAATTAACAAAATTTGTCGAAATATTATATGCTTACCGTTGTCGTAGTTTTGATTCCTCGGGGCTTTTTTCCATTGATGACGTAACTGTTGCGACCATCCTGATATTTTCTTCGAGACTTTTTGGTGTCTCCCACGCAAACTGAAAACGAAGAGGTTTCGTAATAAATATTTAAACATTCATAATCAATATATTAATTAATTGTGATTTATTATATTTTCTATATTTAAATGAATGAATTTAATTAAAAAAGAAATTAACATTAAATATTGTTAGAAAATTTAAACCTTTTCAATTTTTTTTACTTCCCGATCAATAAAAAAAAACTATATATTTATTGACAGATTTTCGGTTTTCCAACTGGTTTTACTTTTTATATATATACATGTATACAATAAGACCTCGTTTAGCGCTTTAGATGCGTTCCTGAAGACAGAGCGCTAAACGAAACAGCGTTATAGGTCATTTTAACTCATAGCAAATAGGGAAACGGGAACATGCGACAAAAATAAACACATTTTACTTTAATCTTAAGTTGTATTTATAGTAATTTTCATTACAGAAATATTAAGTTAATTCTTGTGATGAAGGTCCTGGCTCTTCTGATATTTTTGATTTTTCTTTCATTAAGCAAATATTGGTAGTAGACCGCACCCAAAACTCCATTTATTTCTTTTGCAAAATTTGGATTATTCGCCACAATTTCGGTTTTCGTTTCTAAACTTTTTCCAAGAAAATCTGTTGTAGCAAGAGTTATTTCGGTTCATCGTCTTCAGAATCACTATTTTCTTGTTTTGCCAGTTCTTGTTGCAAGGTTGTCGTTGCTAAGGCCCTCACCAGAAACCTGCAGTATCTTCTTAATATCTTGCTCATCTACATCTCAAACAAACATAGATTCTGGGGAAGGACAGCGCTACGTATTCAGGAATAATCATATTATATACGAATCAATGAAATACCGCGATAATTTGCATCTTGGTAAATTTTGAGTTTTTTAAGGTTTCCAGCAAATCGCGTTATAGCAAATCAGCGTTAATCGAGGCAGCGTTAAAGAAGTTTTACTGTACTTAATGTAACTAATAAGTTACAAATATAACTGAAAGAAATACATACAAATATTATTTTGATGTATTTTTTTAAAACTGAATTATTAGAAGGATAATAAATTATTGATATATTTGCTAATTAAAGGCATACTTCTTGTAGGTGAAAATATTTTTATTGTTTAAATATTTATATTAACGATTGTCGCGAATTATAATAAATTTGTTAAATAATATTTGAGTGAATCATTGCTATAACCAGTTTGGCAAAAACTATGCAAAAAATATGAATATTTAATAATATATCTAAATTTATTAAATAACTTGATATATGTTATGTATTTCGATCCGGAAATAAAACTTTCTGTTTTGAATTTTATTTTTTTGTCACATTAATTTTTTTTTATAAATTATTGAAAACTAAACCTAAAAAAAATATTTTATGAAATGATATAAACAAATTTCTTAATAATATTAAAGTCATACATACAACAGTAAACCAAAATTACTACATAATTATCATTTCAATAAATGCTACTGCTAGATTTTTTAGTAATTTAGAATATTTCCTTATATTTTGTTAAAATATTTACCTGTTTTTATACTTTATTTAATATACAGCATCAGCCCGAAAATAAATTCTAAAAATTTACTACTCAAAAATGTTTTTTTTTTATAAATTTTTATACAAATAGTTTTTTGTGCGTTTTATTTTTGTATTTGTAGTTGATCGATTAGGTAAGTGTTTACCAGACATATTTGTACCTCATCTATAATTTTCGTAAGATTGAGTACTCCTCGTCAAAAAAGTCTATTTTCTTTAATAACAATTAAAATACATTTATTTTTTTTTCTATTTTATTACATAAACGAAAAAATAAATTTATTCATAAAAAAATATAAATAAAATATCAATAGCCCTTTGTATCAGTTAACTTTTTGGAAATTATATATATTAATTTTGTTCTTTTTATTTCTGTATATGTTTTTTTGTACGACTAATGCAATAAACATTATTATTATTAAAATAAATAAAAGGTATATTATAACTAATATTCATTACAATCAATGAGAAGGATGAAGTTGTTTTTGTTGAGATTGAGACTGATTATAATAATTTGGTTCCTTGGTTCCTTTTTTTTTCTTAATGTCTACAAATGCTGAAAAAGCAACTTCAGATATGAATTTTGAAAAGGCAAGATGTATTTCAGGACTTTGCTAAAACTGGATATAGATGTTGCAGTTGCAACCTAAATGATGTATGAAATGTATATTGAATTAAATGGAATGGAATATATATACTATCACACTTACAACTTTTTAAATTTGTCAATGCTAATTTTTTTGCTCATGATTAGTCTATGCACTTATTCACTGTAACTGATTTGACATACTAATGGTGAAGACTCATATGTTAAACTTCGGTATAAGTTTATTGTTTATAAATATATCTACTAATATTACTTATGAACAATAAACTTACAATAGACTGTCGAAATTCAATATAAAAAAAGTGTTTGTCTAATACCGATAAACAACATTCCAATCAATCAAATACGATAAGATGTAAGTATTTCCAAAAAATAATTGATAATCTTTTATATATATATATAAAAAATCACAACAATTATATAATTTGAAATAAAACTAAATTTTTATAATGAAATAATAATTGTTTAAGCGTGTAAAACGCTAGGTTGATAAACTCCGCATAAGTGATTGAGTATAAATGGTTATAATTTTTACAATTGAATATTAACGATAAGATTAAAACAATAAAATATTAATTTAAAAAAAATTATATTTATTTTGGTTGGCAACTTAGTAAAATCGCTTCTTGAAGAGTTATTCTCAAGTCAGAATTATCCCACGTCAGATATTTTTTAAAACATCATATGCCCAAAATATTAAAGACATTGAACATTACGTGACGAAAACGTGAGAAAGGTTGATACCACTTTACTGAGCTACATGTCAACCTTGAACAATTTTAACGATCCAAAATCTTCCGGCATAGATAGGCCGGGTAAAAAGAAATAATCACAATTTGTTTTAACGACTGTATCATTTTTTGAAATGTTATTATCAATATTTTATATCTACAATTATTTCATTAATATATTTTTCAATTTATTGATATAGACAACAGTTATTTTTTTTTGCATCAAGGTAAAAATATATATTAAATTAAGTTATCTAGTGGGCGGATATCTTCAGTCAGTAGCCTACAATTTGAGTCATTTTCAGTTTGGGTCGATGACCAATATATTGTTATACGGATTTACATATCTCTCTAAAAGTAAAAGACGAGAACACTTCTTGATATGATTTATTTATAATCTTGGAATAATTACACTATTTATAATTGCGTTTGACTCATAGTTATTTACGATTAGAAAGAACTTTCCACCTTGTAATTATGTAAATTTTAAAGTATATATAGCTGTTGGCATTAAGTTATATGCAACCACAGTTTCATATGTATGTGAAGCTTGTATATGTTACAAGCATTTTCATTCTTTACTTTCATAACTTTATAATTGTAGCTAAGAGTAGTGTACCTTGTATATTTATATCATGTGGAATATTGCAAACAAAAAGATAACTTTTTAATAATTACATTACGTAAGGCGGAGAGACTGCGGTCAGTAGCTCAATTATATTTGCTTATTTTTAGTATAAATTATTTAAAATTAGGGAAATTATTGTTTTTTAAATAGTTTAAAAACGCAAAAAGACCTATGGTCAATATCCTTTTGAAGTAATTAATATATATTGTTTTATTATTATTGTTGTACATATTTTTTTTTCTGTTGCAATAAATATTATTATTTTTTGGAAATAAATATTTATAAATTATGTTAATTATTAATTTGATAAGTATTATTTTTGAAACGATTTCACACATTGGATGCATTCCTTTAGAATTGAAAATAAATGAAGAGATAAAACATATTTTGTGCACATTCACTTTTCGTTGTGTAGAAAAACAGACAACAATAATTTGAATCGCGTTAACATTTTTATTATATTGTTCTTTATGTATTAAATATAAACATAATAAAATTAAGTTATATAACGTTCATTTTCATTAACTTTTATATCTATTCATTGAAAAAAAACTTATTAATGCATTTAATATCTTGAATTAAATTGGTTCGGTATAAATGAACATATTTTATTATATGTATTTCATTGTGGTTTATTTAATATACGCATGTATCTAGGATCTAGAGTTAGATCTTAGCATTTCGTTTATATTCTAACATGATTTGAAAGATTCAGATTTTTTTTTTGGTATATTATTTAAATGGAACCAAATAATTGTTTCATATTTAAAGCGCATCATGCGGATCCGGAGCCGAGAATTGCTGATCCTTGTGATATATCAAGAATGAAAAGAAAAAATGTATTAGAAAATCTCATAACACTGCATCATTATTGGATTGTTTGGTGCAAAGCTTAAATTTATCCTTTTGTTAATCAATAAGAAATGTTCAAACATGACAAAACTTTATTTTTTTACTTCCAAATCTAATGAATTACGTTCATCAGATAAAGAACAATAAACGAATTCATTCATATTATGAAATATTTCCAGAAACTTATTGTTTTAAGTAATTATAAATTATATTTAAAATTAAATATAATTTTATCTATAAATTTTTATCTTTTATTTATGTATCTTTTTAATCTATTATTGTATGTTCTCAAAACGTATATGAGCAAAATACGCTTTCTTGATTTTCATATTTTATTGTATTCTATTTGTTGAATAAGTCGCAATTTGTAAATATAATTTCTTTGATTTTATTAAAGAATTTTATTTAAGATTTCAAGAAATTCGTCCATCACGAATTTACTCGAAAATTTCATGTATTTAAATTGTTAATGCAGTAATCTTTGAAGGTTGTATTTTAGACTTTTAATCCTTTCACAGTAGATGCATAAATTTTTAATTTTACCTAGAGAATACGTAATAAAGTAATAATAGAAAAATACCTTGCGCGTCCACCAATTGTGATGTATAACTGGATGCATATCAACTTAATGTAGTTGTTTTTAAGAGTGCGCTAATCTACGAAGTAGACTGTACGC